ATAGAAGTGTCCAAGCTTTGCTTTTCTAGTAGACAAAACTAAGCTGCTCGACAAGCTCATGTCAAGCAGTAGCAAGAGATGCCTAAAACTGTTGGAGAAATGCAAGAACATGAACCAGCTAAAGCTAGCTCGTGCACAGGCAGTCACATGTGGTCTTGGCACCAACAACTTTGCTTTAAGCAGGCTCGTAGCTTTCTGTGCAAACCCAAATCATGGAAGCCTTACCTATGCCTGGAACCTCTTCCAAAACATTCAGAGCCCCACAATTTGTATCTGCAACACCATGATCAAAACTTTCTTTCTCAAAGGTGAAATCTTTAAAAGCATCCAGTTTTACACTAACATGTTGAATAATGGAATGTACCCTGATAGTTATGCTTTGCCTTATGTGTTAAAAGCTTGTGCAAAGTTACAATATTTTTACTTGGGAGAACTGGTTTATGGTCATTGCTTGAAACTGGGTTTTGCGTTTGATATTTTTGTGGGTAATGCTTTGATTTCTATGTACTGTGGATTTGATAATATGGAAGTAGCAAGGTACATTTTTGAAGAGATTCCTGTACTAGATGTTGTTTCATGGACAGTTATGATTTGTTGGGCATGGGCAAATGGCTGACATTGACACTGCAAGATTGCTTTTTGATGAGGCTCCAGTGAAGGATAGAGGAATTTGGGGTGCTATGATATCTGGATATGGAAAAAATAATTGTTTTAGAGAGGGTCTTTATATGTTCAGGCTAATGCAAATGAGTGATATAGAGCCTGATGAGGCTATATTTGTGAATATTCTTTGTGCCTGTGGTCATTTAGATGCTTTAGATACTGGAATTTGGATTCATAAATATCTGGATCAACAAAAGTTTCCAATGAGTCTTCGTTTGAGTACTGTCTTGTAGATATGCATGCAAAATGTGGGAATTTGGACATGGCTAAAATGTTGTTTGATGAAATGCAGCAAAGAGATGTTGTAAGCCGGAATGTAATGATTTCTGGGATGGCAATGCATGGGGACGGAGAAAGTGCACTTGAACTGTTTAGGAAAATGGAGAAGGATGGAGTCAGTCCTGATGACGTTACTTTTATTGCTGTTTTTAGTGCTTGTAGTTATTCTGGCATGGCGTTTGAAGGTCTAAGGGTGCTGGATAGGATGCGTAATGTGTACAACATTAAGCCTAAAAGTGAACATTTTGGCTGTATGATTGACCTACTTACCCGAAGCGGGCTCTTTGAAGAAGCAAATCAAATAATTAACAGACTACCGGATTCAAGCAATCCCTCTGATGAAGCCATTGCCTGGAGACCATTGCGGAGTCCCTGCTGTAGTTATGGACAAACCAAACAGGCTGAGGTAGCTGCTGAGAAACTCATGGAGCTAGAAGATCATAGTGGGGTATATGTTTTGCTCTCAAATCTGTATCCAGCGTCAGGGAAACATTACGAGGCCAAAAGAATAAAACAGATGATGAAAAGCCGAGGGGTGAACAAGGTACCAGGTTGCTGTTCTGTCAAGATCAATGGGATAGTTCATTAGTTTATTGCTGGGGACGAAACTCACCTACAAATGGAGGAAATACACTTTACTTTGGACAAGTTAGACAAGCAATTGGATTATGCTGGGGAAATCATATTCGGCTGATTAACAGGAACACCAGTTTCTTCTGGGCAGACCATGTAACTGGCAAACAACTTGTTATATCATGTAGTTTTTCATGTCCATTTTTGAATTTTGTAATCATGCACCTTAGATTTGCATCTTTGTCAACATTTGTATAGCTTGTTGTCATTTCTGAGCTCTTCTGAGTTCAACTTTGGTGACGTGAGCCTGCAATTTCTATAATAGGACAAGTTCAGATGCTCCCCCGTTGCTAGTAGCTTCTTGTTAAACAAACCAGAAGCCTGCACTTTTATTGTCACTTTGTTGTGATGACAGTGCTTCTTCTATCTGTTTGCATCCTATCAAAATCCCCCCAACCCCCATTTTTTCTTTTTTTTTGAAAAAAAATTGTACATCAGTAGATGCTGAAACTTGGGTATCGAAATATGTTGATTCAGAATCAACCTTCAATTCCTGAATAACCTAAATATTTACAATGTGACACTTTAATCTCATGTAAGAAGATTGTGAGGATTTGTTATGCTATATATAAAAAGATATAAATTTATATTTGTGAGGTACATGGTAAAATTATAAGATTTTTTATTAAAATAAATAATATTTAGCAAACTGAATATAGATATTTATAAATTGTATTAAAACAGTCATTAATTATACGAAAGTTAAGTATCATAAAGTCGAAATTATTTTTAAAATTTCAATATCTAATATGACTCAAATTTTGTAATTTTATTTGAGTTTTATATTGAGTTTCACGAAGAAATTAAATTTTATAAAAAAGTTTATGATACTTTAATAAGAAATAAAAATTTATTATAATATATATAAATTTATATTTATATTTTAAAAATATATTTTATAAAATAAAATTTTAAAATTTTAAATTAAAATAAATAATATCTTTCAAATTAAGTTATCGATACACTTGTCCTTAAAGCCAGTCATTCACTAATGGCAAGAGAAGCTGGAGACAAGAAAAAGTGGGTAAAACTTAAGATTTCCATTGTCAGAGAATTTGATGAACCAGCGTCTTGGCAAATACAATCCAAGTTAAAAGGTAAAATTTGTCAAGTTGAAATCCGGGTTCACAGATTTTTGGTTGAAACTGTGTCGGAAGTAATTCAGCTTTATCTTTCATCAGTTATTTTATTTTATTTTTTAATTGCTTGATACGGAGAACTGTGGGCCCGGTTTCTTACATGCTTTTAACTGCAGCAGTTTGTTGGGATTCCCAGCGGCTATTTTGTCGGTTTGGTTTTTGTTTACTCCTTTCTGACAAGTAAGTCAGTTCGAGGAATTTAGTTTAAAAAAAAATTAATTGTTATTTTTATTAGTATTTGTTTTAGTCATTATCCATTTTAAATTAAAATTTTCATTTTTTAACTCTTTGTTTTTGTTTTTGTTTTTTTTTACCACCAATTTTGGGAAGAAAAACAAACTAACAAAAATCAAATAATAATTTCAAAACATAAAATGAAATTTTCTATCTTTCATTTTTTTAATATATATTATTTTGTATTTATAAGGGCAACACTAGGATGACAATCTAATCCATTTTCGATGGATTTCGATATGATCCGATTATGACCCGATCTTATGAGATTAATTTTTTTTTTTGAAATTTAGATTTCGGATCGAATCGAATAAGGTTAAGAAACAATCAGATTCAGATCAAATTCAGGTTTAAGGCAAATCCTATCTGATCCGATATTATATAAAAAATTATTTTTTAATTAATTTTTTAAATTTTTATTTATATATATATTTATATAATGATATTTATAAATATTTATATTTAAAAAATAAATATTTCATTAATTTTGAGTCGGATCGGATACGATTTATATAGTATCAAGTCGAGTTTCAGGTTCGGGTATGAAAAAATAAAAAAAATTTCGGATAAAATCGAATTTGAAGTGAACAAAACCCATCCCGAACCCGACTCGATGTCAACTCTAGACAGCATAACCTTTTTCACATTTTTTTCCTTTTGTGTTTCTATATTTTGTTTATTATAAAAAGCGAAAAATAACAATATTTTTTTTATCTTGACAATTTGTTGGGATTTCAATTCTTACAAAATTTTTATTTTCAAATTACGATTTTTTTATATAAAAAAATTGTATATTACAATAATATTGTGTGTTGGTACATCTGATAAAGATTAAGGTTAATTTTATAGATGCTTTTTCTTTTTAATTTTTGTTTTTTATAAAAAATAAAAAACCTGCTAAATGAAATCTTAAAAATATAACTTTTGAATTGATTTTTTTTTCTTTTGCATTATGAATTGAAAGGTTTGAACTAAGATTGATGATCTTTTAGATTTAGATATTAAGATTTGGGCTTCGTTTGGAATCAATCGGACCTCTAATGGGCAATCAACTACTATAAAACTTCGTGTCAACTGAATCTTGCACCTTTTTGGATGTTAAAACATTTAGTGTATTTTGTGATTTTTAGCCATTGAGGAGTAAACCTCCAGTGGCTAACAATGGCCAACTGGCCACTTTTTTTTTATTTTATTTTTACCTTTTACATAATTTTATAATTATTAAAATATCTTTTTTTAATAATTTTTCTTATTTCATTTTTATTTAGAAATAATAAATAATTTTATTAATGTAATATAATAAAAATATTATTTGATATATTATTATTTATCAATAAATATAAACATAATTTTTAATTATTTATTAATTTTATAAATGTTAAATCATTTAAAATTTTTATTGCGTATAAATTTTATTTTAGTATCCTTAATAAATATTTTTTTCACTACAATTCACCTCACTGTTATAGTTGTTTTTACATCTAAACATATATATTATCACTGATTTTAATCTCGTTGCTATAATAATCAATTTTACCTTCATTACTATTTTTAATCTCATCAAAATTAATCTTATTATCCATCCAAATGAGCTCTTAAAAGAGAGAGACTAAAATATTTTACTACTTATAATTAAGCTAAATGAAAAAATTAGCATGATAATGCTAATCAACTTAGCCTTTTTCAATTTTCCACATGCATTAATTTCCTACATCAAAAGAACTTTTTCTAGCCATTATCCACCTTATTTATTAACCCAATTAAAAATCAATCTTTATATATATTTTCACAAATGAAGTCAAGACTTTCGAAAAATCGAATCCCAACTTTATAAAAATTAATTTCTTGATAAAAAAAGTGAACCATTTAAATAGAATTTCACATTCAAAATCAATTTATAGCCTTATAATGTGACTAAAGACTCTAGATTAGTAGATTAATAATGTTTGGCTGATCATGATAGGGGATAGTAGTTGGAAATCAATAGCTAATTCAACCAAAAGAACAATGAGAGAAAAAAAAATAGTAACAAGTAAATTATTGATGCTAACAGTAAAAAAAGCAAACTTTCACAAGAAAAATTTATAGCATATATGGTCATAGATTCAACCCCGTTGCCTGTTTTTCAACACAAGGCTACATCAACATATTTAATGCAAAACGCTAAAAATATCTCTCCCTTCACGGTTCGAAAGTCTATTAATGAAACTCATGGGTTTCTCTTGAAATTCAACTCCCCCACCACTTCTGGGATCCTTCTTCCTCCTTTGAACCATAGACTATAGTGATTAAGAAACAGCGACGGTACGCCAATTCCTTGCTTGTTTTTGCTGCCTTCAGTACTGTCTCTTTTCGTCACCAAAAGTTATAGGATAGAACTACAAAAACAAGTATGGAAATAGCAATCGTCGTTAAAGAAACAGTGTAAAAAACAGAACAAGAAATTAGCTAATGTCTAATACTAATAAAATTTGAGAAGGGCTGGCTGTATATAAACTCCATGCATGAAAGGTAACAAGAATTGCAAAGAAAGCAAAATCTTGGCTAAAATATAGGTACTAGATAGAAAAGACGGTGTGTATGGACAGAATGGTGGGTAATTCAGAGACGTAATGAGTTAAGCTCTTCAGTTGTGAAGAGGGTTGGGCCCTGAGGGGACAAGTCTCTTCTCCACACCATATCTTGGATCAATTTCATTGACTTGGGATGGTGGTGGCAATGATGGCAAGACAGGTTGCAATTTGTGGATTCTTTCAAGCTGAAAACACAAAGAACGTTGCTGTGCGCCAGAGAAAGAATCACAAGAACCGAACTTGGAGTCATGTAGCTGGCGATGGAGCTGGTGGTTTCTTGGAGAAGTTCGTGTCAGAGTTTGGGTGGAGGGTTGGAGGAGGAGGAGAAGCATGAAGATCAAAAGGCTGTACCAAGACATGGCGATTGGGATTTTTCTTCTCTGCTTTGCTGGTTTCGTGACAGACTTAAAAAGGGATTGTCCTGAGATGAGAGACGCAAAGATGGCGATGGAAGGGAGTGCTTAAATGCAAGGCAAGACAAACCTGAAGGGATATAATTTGACAAAGGAAAACAAATAATCTATAGCTATAGGGAGGCAATTTTCATTATTTCTCATCAAATCAATCACGTATTTTTGTAGGTGTACGGCCACATAACTAAGATACCGCACAAGTTTTTAACCCATCAGCCCTGTGAATCTACTAACTTATCCCATTCCAACCATTGCAAAAGTTATCAGAAAAGTAGCCCTGTAAAACAGTAACTATCAGACAGGGTTTTAAAGCTTTCCTGATAGTTATTTCAAGCCTGTTGCTGACAATCCGAGGCCTTTGGTGCAATTGCAGACATAATAAATGTTTTTTTTTTTGCTATTTATTACAGGAAGGTAGAAATATGGAGCAAACAGAATCTGAACTTTCATTGATTGTCCACTCCCAGTCTTTTTATCTTCTGCAAATCCCTGTTCCATTTTTTCAGCCAGAACCCAACTACAGCAGAGGAATAGTATAAATAACAATCTGAACGTGTACCAAAAAACTTGGCTTAATCGATCAAAGGGTGCAACCATTACCAAATATCTTGGCTAAATTGCTCATCATGTAGTAATCAATGGGTACCATTGATGACAAGATATTCGAAGTTTATTGGGTGATTATACTTGTAAAAGAAATTATAAGAACTATGCTTTGTTATTGAATGTGTTCTTTTAGAAAACAACCTAATTCCCACCTTAATTTTCACTATTCATTTTATTTAGATTTTCTTTTTTTTTTTAAGTATTTGAGATTGCTTGACTCCAGCAATCCATCAACCCCAATCACATTTTATTTAGATTTTTTTTGTGTGACAATTTGATGATACATGTTTATTATTCTATATCAATTCATTTTTAAAATAATATTTCATATCATTCTCAACCCTCAATCCATTCTATTTTAGGAGAATAAATAGGATAAAAATGGGTCAAATATATAATTAGTCATCCAACTACACGAATGTCTTTAAAATGATTGCATAATTATTAATTTTTAAAATTTAATTATAAATATTTTTTATCATTTAAATATTAATTTTTAATAATGCGTTGATGTAAAAATTATATATTAACGATTGTGTTCACGTGATATTATCATATCACATGATATTTTATGTGACATATAATTAAGTAAAAAATATTTAATAATATAATATGATGTTTGATAGTTAACATAATAATGTTACATTAGTATGTCGATAAATATTAACGATTAAGTGATAAAAAAATATTTATTAAAATTAAAGTTATTAAATAAAAAATTTTAATAATTTAATAATTATTTTAAAAACACAATTCTAATTAAATGACTAATAATATATTTTATTGTAACATATATGATGTAATATAGTAATTATTAATTTGAAAGGCTAAAATATTTTAAGTGAGTTAAATAGGTGAGATCTTTTTTTAAAAGAAAAGTTAAAATATATATTTAAAAAAAAAAAATTATTCAACGCCCATACTTCAGTTTTTCCTTCTTACAGCTATCCTCATCGTTTCTCTGCCATCATCGGCCATGATCCTGCTTTTCTTCTTCCTTCTTTCTCTTCTCTCCCAAACCCAATCCAAACTCATCCTCTCTGTAACTCCAAAAATCCTGTCCAAATCTGGCGACCAGGTTCTCATCCGATGGTCCGGTATCGAGTCACCATCGAAGCTCGACTGGCTCGGTCTCTACTCACCCCCCGACTCAACCCACGACAACTTCATCGGTTACAAATTCCTTTCCTCTTCCCCAAATTGGGAATCAGGGTCGGGATCCATTTCTCTACCTCTCACCTCCCTCCGCTCTAACTACTCCTTCCGAATCTTCCGCTGGACCGAATCCGAGGTCAACCCGGACCTCCACGATCAGGATCATAATCCTCTCCCGGTTACACATCATTTGTTGGTGGAGTCGGAGAGGGTGGGGTTCGAGTCGGGTCGTGGACCGGAGCAGATCCACTTGGCGTTGACTGGTCGGGAAGGGGAGATGCGGGTGATGTTCGTAGCGGAGGACCCTGCGGAGAGGCACGTGAGGTATGGGGAGAGGGAAGGAGAGTGGGAAGGTGGCGTGGCGGTGGCAAGTGCGGTGAGGTATGAGAGGGAAGACATGTGTCATGGCCCAGCTAATGAGAGCGTTGGCTGGAGAGATCCTGGTTGGATATTTGACGCGGTTATGAAGGGTTTAAAGGGTGGGATCAAATACTATTATCAGGTAAATTTGGTAATTTTTTGGGATTTTTAACTATTTGTTTTTATGTTGCTCTTTCTGATTAACAGTTTTTTGAGCAGTTTTGTAATCTGGATCATGTTGATTAACTATTGATATCTGTGTTTCTGTTTTAATAATTCTTGTTATTACACGTGTCAAACCTGACATGAAGCAATGATACGAAAACACGAATTACCATGTCTAACTATATTTTGACATGAAACAGGACATGAAAACATGAATTCACAAATTACCATGTCTAACTATATTTTCTTGGTGATTATAGCATTGATAATCAGTTATGGTATTTTACTTTTGGTAATAAAAAAGCAGGCATATTTGTTGCTACATTTGGAAATGTTCAACTAGATTCTGCTGTGACTAAAAAGGGTTCATTTTTCAATAGCTAAATATAGTGTTTGAAAATGGCTGTGGGAAAATACTGAGCTGCTCGTATTGGTGGATTACATTGTTTTGTTGGCTGTTGCATTACCATAAGATTTGCTTTGTTTTTCATTTCTTTGCCATTTAGTGGCTTGTATAGGGAGTTCACTTTTCATCACTAGGTTTGAGTTTGAACATTGATCTAGTGCTTTTGGTAAGTGGCTAGTTACCGCCAAGTCTAGTGCTTTGAGTTTGACAGTTGCATAGAATTATCCATTCAAGTTAATTCATGTCTATGTTACGTGTGATTCATATATTTATCTTGTTAATTTCTATTATGTTGTATCGTCGTTACTTGTTGGGAATTAGCAAAAGTGCAAAACCCTTTTTCACTTGAACACATAGTGCACTCTCAATTCAACTTTAGGTTAGATGGTCACTTGCATTACCCTGTTTTGCACCTTCTAAGAAAGAACAACTATTCTATCATAGGTTGGAAGCGAGTCTAAAGGTTGGAGCAGTACACGCAGCTTTGTCTCTTGGGACACAAGTTTAAACGAAACAACAGCCTTCCTATTTGGAGACATGGGAACTGCTACACCATACTTAACCTTTAGTCGTACACAAGATGAAAGCATATCAACCATTAAGTGGATCCTACGTGACATTGAAGCTATTGGAGACAAGCCTATTTTCATTTCTCATATTGGGGATATCAGCTATGCAAGAGGCTACTCATGGTTGTGGGATGAATTTTTCAACTTAATTGAGCCTGTTGCCTCCAAGGTGCCATATCATGTGTGCATTGGTAATCATGAATATGATTGGCCTTCACAGCCTTGGAAACCTGAGTGGTCCAATACAATTTATGGAACAGATGGCGGTGGTGAATGTGGGGTGCCATACAGCCTTAGATTCAATATGCCTGGCAACTCTTCAGAACCAACTGGAACCCTTGCTCCAGCTACACGAAACCTTTACTACTCATTTGATATGGGGCCAGTTCATTTTGTTTACATGTCAACTGAAACCAATTTCCTCCCTGGAAGCAGCCAATATAATTTTCTGAAGCATGATCTAGAGTCAGTTGATCGGACAAAGACCCCTTTTGTTGTAGTTCAAGGGCATAGACCAATGTACACTACAAGCTATGAAAGTAGAGATGCCCCATTGAGGGAGAGAATGCTTGAGCATTTGGAACCTTTGTTCGTGAAAAACAATGTGACCCTTGCATTATGGGGCCATGTCCACCGGTACGAGAGGTTTTGTCCACTGAAGAACTTTACGTGTGGAAGCATGGGGCTAAAGTGGGAAGGCTGGGAGGCATTACCTGTCCATGTTGTGATTGGGATGGCTGGACAAGACTGGCAACCAACTTGGGAACCTAGACCAGACCATCCACATGATCCAGTCTTCCCACAACCCAAGAGGTCTTTGTACCGCACGGGTGAGTTTGGGTACACTAGATTGGTTGCTACAAAAGAGAAGCTTATACTTTCTTTCGTAGGAAACCATGATGGGGAGGTGCATGACATGGTTGAGATTTTAGCATCTGGGCAAGTTATTAATGGTGGTGACAGTGACAGTGGTAAAGTTGGTGCAGCCCTTAAGGATGAGGTGATGCAGTACTCATTTTCACGTTATGTCTGGGGTGGTAGTGTCTTGGTGCTCGGCGGTTTTGTTGGCTATGTTCTTGGTTTTGTTTCGCGTGCTAGGAATCGAGCTGCCTCAGGAAGGGGCTGGACTTCCTTGAAAAGTGAGGAGATATGAAATACAAGACGAAAGATTATGTGTGAAGGGCACCATGAAGAAAATTCTTGTATCATTCCATTTATACCAATTGAGTAGATCAGTAATGACAAATGTATGGTCCGGATGGGAGAGAAAATGGAAAAAGAAATGTTAAAACTTCATACAGTTATGTGAAGCAAATTTGGTAAGCTATGCAACCTCTCACTTGGCAAGCAAATGACGTGCACGTTGGTTGGCACCTTTCACTCGAGAGTTCAGTTAATCCACATCATCTTGGAGATGATCAAGAGCTTTATTTTGTCTGCAATTACCAAATCATTTAACAATAATATGAGACAGGGTATGTAACTGAGAATGGGTGGAAATTACATTAAAATGCAGATTTTGAAGCAGTGTAGAAGTTAACAAGTACATGGACATAATAAGAGCGAGACAACAGACCTTTCAAGTTCAGATCCCATCTCGGCAGCCATGCAGTTTAGATCACCCAAGATATTACTTAGATCTGAAAGTGCATCATCTTGCTTTGCCTTCTCAAGCTGGAGTTAGATAACCAATTAATATCACTGCAATAGCGGAATTTTACCAAAATTTGTACGCACAAGATAGTACTAACCTCAACTTTCTGTATGGCATTAGTTGGTTCAGGAGGAGGTGTCCTACTTCCCGGCTGAGCTTTAGGTACAGGGGCCAGACCCAACTTTTCTCTCTGCTTCTTGTGGTTTTCACTTTTATTAGATGACTTGTTTGCCAAAGCAATGCATGAAACAATCAAATCATTGTAAAATCCAATTGACATCCATCCAAACATTTCTATATTTCAGTTTAGCATCCATGCTAAAGCAAAAGAGTTTAAATAATTATTACACTAAGGAACTGAAGAAATTGCATTAGAAGAAAACCTGAGGTGATAACAGGCCCCTTAATTTCTCGTGTCTTCTTTGGCTTCCATGGCTTAGAGAACATGCCACCTAAACCGTTCAAAAGCTTCTCACCCTGATATTTGCAAAGTTTATAGAATCTAGTTAAAATCAATTTACATGTTGATCAGATTGCTTTGCTTCATTTCGATTTCCAAAATGATCCTGCAACAAACAGGCTATAAGTTTCAAATGTTTTCATTATTTTAACTATAGTCTCCTCCTCTCCTGCCGATCTGTACAGGCTATATAGAACTTACCCGATTCAAATCCTTATCCATCTCAACTGCCATGATGTGGGTCCTTTCAATTTGCTGTCCTTGCTGATGCAAAGTATCAAGTGTCCTTGTAGCATCCTCCCTGATGTTCTCAGCGATCTTCAAGCAGTTATTAATACTATTTGTTGTATCCTAAGCCTTGTAGAAAGCATAATTCTCCAGGTCTTCCATAGTCTGGCTCTGGAGTCCTCCAGAGTCGCGGAAATCATTCTTGTATCTATCTCTATCTCGTGCTGGTGATGGCCTAGTGGATGCTGAAGTTTGCTTTCTTCTTTCATTCCATGGTCATCATCATTCAAATCGGGGATTAAGAGCACAGGCTTAGAAAAGTTCTTCTAGCAGGTGTAATACTGTTCTTGTTGCTATCTTCAGTGTCTGAATCAAATGGACTGGAACCAGAACCACAAGCAGCTGGTGGGTCCACTGACTTCTGCCTGGCTCTCATAAATCCAAACATTTTGTCAAAGAGTAAAATTGTCTGGTTAGGAATCTAAAATCCAAGGAAGGAAAATGACAGGAACACCTTGAAAGTTGATTCTTCAACAAATGGTACCGAGAAACCAAGCAATTGTTTTATAGAAGCAGGTGATTCTCAACAAACAAAAAGAAGATATATTTTTGTAACCTTCAATTAACATCAACACAATGAGCCCAAAAACATGACAATTGGCATACCTATCTGGGATATCTTTCATGGGAAATGCAAATTCCTACACATTTCCATTTACAAGGAATAAGATTATACAATAAAGAAGACCCAGAACTCAACTATATCACATTCAAAGAAATTCAAGCAAAAAAAAAAAAAACAAATACAAGCAAATTAAACAACAGGGTACCTGGGATAACTTGGAATTGAACATATATGAAGGGAAAAAAATTGATACACAAACCCAAGGAGGAAACCAAAAAGAATTGGATTTGTGTGTAAAGGGAGGATTTTTTGGAAATGGGGAGAATGATAGAGGGAGACAGTTTTTTTTTTGGGGATCAAACAGATGGGAAGAGCCCCAGAAAAGGAGAGCAAATCCCTTTGCAATAACCTCCAAAAGTACAGGAAGTCTATTTTATTTAGACCGTTAGAGTTTGAATTTCTGTTGCATTGTGGTTTTCTTATATGCTTTCTAATTTTAGACATTGTTCTTACATTGGGTACCAAGCCCAAGCAGCGGAGAGGGATTGGGTTTTGACTTGGGTGGGTTACCAACAATGGTTTAATCATGAAGCTCAAGTACAAGACCTTTATATCAACCATCATGACATGAAAAACTTTTCATTAAAAGAATAAAAAGAAAGATAATTTTCCAAGATAATTACTATAGGTCCAACAGTTGTGTGATTTGAGAAAAAACAAGTGAAAGTTATTTGCAATATCTTCTCTTCTTGTGGTTTGATCTGTTACACAGTTTGTGCCAGACCCATCGTTTGAAGAAGTGAAGGCCATATGTCAGAAGTGGTGTTTTTGGTCCCTACAGCTACGAGGAACTGATTGGATCCTTTGGAAGGAAATGAAGGTTATGGTTGTGCTGATTATTTCCTTGTTGGAAAAGATTTTTCCAGTTACATTGATTGCCAAGAGAAGATTTTTTCAGTGTGCTGATCATGTTGTTGGATTAAAAGCCTCCAATCCAATCACAACGAAAATAAAATAAAATAATAAATTAAATACACAAGAGACAGGTTCGATCCAATCAATCTACATTCATGGATGAGAAATAATATCCATTAATTGTAGAGAATTACAAACATACATCAAATCATCAACCTCACTTAACAATCAATACTCACAAGACATTCTCAATCTCCTCTAATCTTATGGAGTATTCTCAACCCAAATAAACACAAACACAAACCCAAATCCTTGTGCACATTTTTAACATAATCAAACACATACTTATATGCTCTTATACATCATACCTATATGGACTATCTTAGTCTCTTCTAGTCTACTCACAAACAAACATACTCATAAGACGTAGAGCTCCAATACTCCTATAGGATGTCTATCCCACAAAACCCTACAACTCTCTTACATTTTTTTCTCATACTAAACCTTGTAAAGACTTCACATATTTATAACTATACAAACTTACCCATTAAAAATCTCTTTCCTCTTAGAATTCTTCTTCTGTAAATCAAAATTGCTTATTAAGAATCTCTTTCCTTTTAGAATTCTTCTCTTACAAGTTAAACTTATTTATTAAGAATCATCTTTCTCCTAGAATTATTCTTGTCCATCAAGCAATATCTAACAAATCTTAAATAAATCTATAACAAATCCCAAACAAATCTCTTATGAGATTTGAGTCAATATTTTCAATAATCTCCAACTTGACTCAAATTCTATCAATCATCTATCTTCATGCTAAACGTGCTTAACTCCACCTGCAATGAAAGTCTCACAATCATCTTCTCTTCTCTTGTGTCTTCACGCTTCATACAAATCAATTCTCAATCTTCAAAACTTAAACTCGAACTCTTCTTTTGAATCGAGCTCTTATGGATTTACTTCTTCTCATGTCTCAAATCATGCACTTCCCACATATTAAACCTTTAGCTCTTCTCACATCTCGAACTTTCAGCTTTTCTACGTCTCGAACCTTCGGCTTTTTTCACATCTTGAATTTTCAACTCTTTTCACGTTTCGAACCTTTAGCTCTGATACCACTTGTTAGGAAACACTATAGCTCTGATATTATTTGTTGGGCTAAAAGCCTTCAATCTAATCACACCAGCGGAAGTAAAATCAAACAATAAATCAAACACACAAAAAATAATAATTTAACGTGATTCGGTCCAATCAACTTACGTCTACGGATGAGAAACAAGATCCTTTAGTTGTAGAGAATTACAAACATACATCAAATCATAAACCTCACTTAACAATCAATACTCATAAGACACTCTCAATTTCTTCTAGTCTTATAGAGTATTCTCAACCCAAACAAATACAAACTCAAACCCTTGTGTATCTTTTCAATATAACCAAACACATACCCATATGCTCCCATATATCATATTTATGTGGACTTTCTCAGTCTCCTCTAGTCCACTCACAAACAAATATACATATCCATAAGTTGTAGAGCTCTAATATTTTTATGAGGTGTCTATCCCATAAAATCCTACAACTCTCTTACATCTTTTTGTCATATCAAACTTTGTAGAGACTTCACTTATTTATAACTATATAAATTTACCAATTAAGAATCTTTTTTCTCTTAAAATTTTTTTATTGTAAGTCAAACATGCCTATTAAGAATCATTTTCCTTTTAGAATTTTTCTCTTGCAATTTTTTTTTGTAAGTCAAACTTATCTATTAAGAATTATATTTCTTTTAGAATTCTTTTTTTACAAGTCTTTTTGTTTATCAAATAATATCTAACAAATCTCAAATAAATCTCTAATAAATCTCAAATAAATTTCTTATGAGATTTGAGTAAATATTCTCAAAACATGAGTACACTTTTTGTTGCCTCATAAAACATCAGTACCCGACATATCTGAGCCAATAATGCAAATCTGTTGAGCAGGATTTGCCAAAAAGGAAAAAAAACCAAGTGGGGGTGTTAATGGGTATTTTGGATCTAAAAGGTAAATTGCTCATCTCTCTACAGGTTGTCGATAAATAATTAAAGGTATTGTTTACTTTTGAATAAATCTAGTATATACAATATCAAAATTATATCATTATTTCTGCCTCACAGATTTCTCATATTTTATTTATAAATAGAGCAATCTAACTATTATTAAAGGGATCTCATTTGTTTCTTACATTTTTATTTTGTCTTTTCTTTTAACTATCGAGTTCTAACCTCTGACTTAAAACTCAAAGTGCAAACGTAAAAAATATTTTTTACCTTTGCCTTAACTGCTTACTTTCTTTTTTTGAGGTTTTAAACTTTTGATCCTCAGTTCAGAGCTCCGCACGAACACAAAATTCAGTTTTGAAGTTTCCCAGCTAGTTCAATTATTGCCTAATGTATATGATCTGCTTAAGGTTAATCTATATATGAGTGATCTTTATACAAAGCCCCTTTATCTCAATAGTTCCAAATTGCACAGTTTCAACAATTCTAGCTGGCTCATAATTTTTTTTTTTTTTTGTGTTCTTTATACTACGTTATATCTACGACGGATAGAGGCTTTTCTGTGATAGATTTGTCCGTCATTGTTGCTCTAAAATCAAGTAGAAATATACTGTAATTAGTGCTCAAACGCAAACATAAAAATGCGTTCCTTTACAATGCAAGCATAATACAACCACAACCATGCAATTGTAAGAGTTATTGTAGGAATCAAATCATCCTCATTCTCTTTCCTAAGATTCATATTGCGGATTATAGGAGAGTGCAAAAATTACATAAAGATGAGAATGCGAGATGGTATTGCTATGTAAAGCATGTAAGATAATAGTCCATCATCATATGTACTTATATAAATATAGCTAACAGTCCTAATTTAGTTCATTTTTTAACAGAGATGGACAAAAATGTCGATTTTGAACACAGCTGGCTCATACAAGTTCCACAGTGACCGTACTATTCATGAATATGCTAGGGACACATTGAGGATTGATCCTGTTGTGCTGCCATGATTGCTATCTGTTCTATCCTGGTGAACGGCAAGTTTAGCCATCTACATATCCACCTTTCTCTCCCTCTTCATTTGTACAACTAAGTACTTCTATAAGTATAGCAGTATAGAGCCGATAACCAACATTATACTTATATAGGATTAAATGATCACCATATAGGAATTAGGAACCAGAGCTAATGGAAAGCCTGGAATTTAGATCTGCCAAAATATTTGCAGACAGTTGGTTACTATAATTTACAGAGAGATAGATTCTTATCAAGGTTCAATAAATGCCTCTTCCTTTCCTGCAGCAAGGTGAAGTTATAGATTCTATTACCTTTTTTT